CACACCAGGCACGTTGTATCCACATCTGTCCTCTCTCAGGACCGTCTTTTCCCTCTGTGATTCACAAAGCTTCCGTTCATGTTCAAAACCAGCTCACCTTCCGCTGTGAAGTCACAGAAGGCTCCTCATGAGATCTTTCCCACTGCAGGTGTGAACTGGGAGGTTGGGGGCCAACACGGGACATGGAGTCACTTTACTCGGAACAAGACAGTGTTTGAGGCACCACTCAATCCTAGTCCCAATCTCTAGTCAGATTGTAAATAAACCAGAAGACCCTAAGGAGTGCTCCTTCTTACCATGCCATCCAGCTCAACCTGGATTGAAAGGAACTCCCCTCAGAGAGTCACTTACAGTCAGTTTCACAGGGTACACCCCAAAGGTGACAGCAGCTGAGACTCGCATGTATTTACGCATACAGCTTTAGAGCACTGTTAATCTTATTTTTCTTTCCCCAAGAGAAAATTCTAAGATGTGCCAGGGCTTTGTCTTCTTGTTGATCATTAAGATGAGATGGCCGGATGGCATCACCGACTCGATAGACATGAGTTTGAGTAAACTCCGGGAGTTGGTGATGGGCAGGGAGGCCTAGCATGCTGCAGTCCATGGGGTCGCAAAGAGTCAGACACAACTGAGTGACTGAACTAAACTGAAGATTCTTAGTGACCAAGCTGTTGACTAGGTGAAGGTTCATTGGAAGCTTTTACCATGATTGGTGTCTTCAGAGATGTGTGGACAGCAAACCAGAGCTTTCTCCCTGCTGCTTCCCTTGAGAGATTGCAAGTGTTTGCTAGGAGATTAGTGAGGACAGAGTCCTTCCAGGTAATTCATGTTGGCTGATGACTAGGCTTCAACAGTACCTGAACCGTGAACTTCCAGATGTTCAAGCTGGTTTTAGAAAAGGCAGAGGAACCAGAGATCAAATTGCCAACATCTGTTGGATCATCGAAAAAACAAGAGAATTCCAGAAGAACATCTGCTTCATTGACTACGTTGAAGCCTTTGACTATGTGAATCACAACAAACTGTGGAAAATTCTTCAAGAGATGGGAATACCAGACCACCTGATCTGCCTCCTGAGAAATCTGTATGCAGGTCAAGAAGCAACAGTTAGAACTGGACATGGAACAACGGATGGTTCCAAACTGGGAAAGGAGTACGTCAGGGCCACCCTCTGCTCCCTCCAATCAGAAGAAACGCTTGCCCACACATCGGAAGTCTGAGATTTTCAGCTGGAGGTCGAGCTTTGTGTTTAAATTGAAGACTGCTTCATTGTTACAACCTTTAGACATTATAGATGGTAATAAAATCTCACATGTTTGAGGGAATATCCATCAAATAAAAACCAAGATTATGAATCATACTGGTTTCTTTGTGATAGCAGTGATATAGTTGGAACTGCCGTTAGAGGCGATGGTTTTAAAATTTATATTTGCTTTTGCAAAGATGATATGTCATACAAAGCAGGCTTTATCTGACTTGCTATTTCATTTGTTTGCTTATAAAGCATTTATTGGGCCCCAGATAACTAGGTATATTCCTCATAATGGGGATTTGAAAACCACAGATCTTTAACAGGGTTGCTTATTTGTTGTTTTTTTTTTCTCATTAGGTTGTAAGTTCTATGATAGTGGCAAGTGTAGTATATTTTGATTATCCAAAATATATTTATGTAAATTAATCCAGTTAAGAAAATCATCCTATAGTATTTAAGAATGGCAACAATTAATATGAAAATGTATATTGTCAGTGTTACTATGGATCATCAGCTGATGGCTGGTGGTAGGTGGCACCTATTAATAGGTTATTGATTTGTCTTTAGTGATTCTTAGCTTGAATTTTGTTTTCTTGCCTCTGGAGCGGTGCTGTCCAGGACGACTTCCTGTGATAAAGGAAGTGTTCCGTGTCTGTCCTGTCTGTTACGGTAGCCACCAGCCCTCGTGGCCACTGAACATTTCAGATGCGGCTGGTGTGACTGAGGAACTGACTTCCCGGTTTGATGTTAATAAACTTAGATGTAAACAGCGCTGTGTGTGACTAAGGGGTGCCGTGCGGCGCGGCACGCTCCCGCAGTGTCAGTGACTTCCGGGCAGGGTAGCCAAGGGGTGCCGTGCGGCGCGGCACGCTCCCGCAGTGTCAGTGACTTCCGGCAGGGTGGCCAAGGGGTGCCGTGCGGCGCGGCACGCTCCCGCTGTGTCAGTGACTTCCGGCAGGGTGGCCAAGGGGTGCCGTGCGGCGCGGCACGCTCCCGCTGTGTCAGTGACTTCCGGCAGGGTGGCCAAGGGGTGCCGTGCGGCGCGGCACGCTCCCGCAGTGTCAGTGACTTCCGGCAGGGTGACTAAGGGGTGCCGTGCGGCGCGGCACGCTCCCGCTGTGTCAGTGACTTCCGGCAGGGTGGCCAAGGGGTGCCGTGCGGCGCGGCACGCTCCCGCTGTGTCAGTGACTTCCGGCAGGGTGGCCAAGGGGTGCCGTGCGGCGCAGCACGCTCCCGCTGTGTCAGTGACTTCCGGCAGGGTGGCCAAGGGGTGCGGTGCGGCGCGGCACGCTCCCGCTGTGTCAGTGACTTCCGGCAGGGTGGCCAAGGGGTGCGGTGCGGCGCGGCACGCTCCCGCTGTGTCAGTGACTTCCGGCAGGGTGGCCAAGGGGTGCGGTGCGGCGCGGCACGCTCCCGCTGTGTCAGTGACTTCCGGCAGGGTGGCCAAGGGGTGCCGTGCGGCGCGGCCCGCTCCCGCTGTGTCAGTGACTTCCGGCAGGGTGGCCAAGGGGTGCCGTGTGGCGCGGCACGCTCCCGCTGTCTCAGTGACTTCCGGCAGGGTGGCCAAGGGGTGCCGTGCGGCGCGGCCCGCTCCCGCTGTGTCAGTGACTTCCGGCAGGGTGGCCAAGGGGTGCCGTGCGGCGCGGCCCGCTCCCGCTGTGTCAGTGACTTCCGGCAGGGTGGCCAAGGGGTGCCGTGCGGCGCGGCCCGCTCCCGCAGTGTCAGTGACTTCCGGCAGGGTGGCCAAGGGGTGCCGTGCGGCGCGGCCCGCTCCCGCTGTGTCAGTGACTTCCGGCAGGGTGGCCAAGGGGTGCGGTGCGGCGCGGCACGCTCCCGCTGTGTCAGTGACTTCCGGCAGGGTGGCCAAGGGGTGCCGTGCGGCGCGGCACGCTCCCGCTGTGTCAGTGACTTCCGGCAGGGTGGCCAAGGGGTGCCGTGCGGCGCGGCACGCTCCCGCAGTGTCAGTGACTTCCGGGCAGGGTGGCCAAGGGGTGCCGTGCGGCGCGGCCCGCTCCCGCAGTGTCAGTGACTTCCGGCAGGGTGGCCAAGGGGTGCCGTGTGGCGCGGCACGCTCCCGCTGTCTCAGTGACTTCCGGCAGGGTGGCCAAGGGGTGCCGTGCGGCGCGGCACGCTCCCGCAGTGTCAGTGACTTCCGGCAGGGTGGCCAAGGGGTGCCGTGCGGCGCAGCACGCTCCCGCTGTGTCAGTGACTTCCGGCAGGGTGGCCAAGGGGTGCCGTGCGGCGCGGCACGCTCCCGCAGTGTCAGTGACTTCCGGCAGCGTGGCCAAGGGGTGCCGTGCGGCGCGGCCCGCTCCCGCTGTCTCAGTGACTTCCGGCAGGGTGGCCAAGGGGTGCCGTGCGGCGCGGCACGCTCCCGCAGTGTCAGTGACTTCTGGCAGGGTGGCCAAGGCGTGCCGTGCGGCGCGGCCCGCTCCCGCTGTCTCAGTGACTTCCGGCAGGGTGGCCAAGGGGTGCCGTGCGGCGCAGCACGCTCCCGCTGTGTCAGTGACTTCCGGCAGAGTGGCAGCAGCTGGATTTCACAGACGGCTAGGCCCGTCATTTCATTCGCGCAAGAAGCGGTTTCCAAATTTTACTTGCAGATACCTGTGATCAAGACATTAGTTCTCCCTTAAAATTAAATGATAATCAATATTTTCTGAAGTTCTATAAGAAAGTGGATGGACAAGCTCCCTTTTTCCCTTTTTATTGCAGTGTGTTGATTGCTGCAGGACTGACTGTAAGGACCAAATCATGGACCCTAATGTCTGTTTTCACTTTGATCATAAAGTTCAGTCGCTTTTCCTCGTCTGTGTGAGTGGGCTGTGGAGGGCAGCGGCGAGAGGCAGGGGTCCACAGTGAGGGGCGATGTCTAGGCTCACGCGTGGGAGTACGTGGGGGTGTGTTTGGAATTAAAGTCCTTGTGATTTGGAGGAGGGGCATCTAACGGAGCCTGAGACTTGTGACTCTTGCAGTTGTGAATACTTAACAAACAGAGTAAGTTCAGGCAACTGGACTACCTAGGACTTAACCTACAAAGTATCCAATCACAATTGCTTTTGTAATCAAGAAGGGAATGTGATTGATAGACCTTTCAATTACTCTTAAAGGGAATTTTTTTCAGGGTTTTCTCTTGTGGCTCAGTTGGTAAACAGTCCACCTGGACTACAGGAGACCCAGGTCCAGTTCCTGGGAGGGAAAGATCCCCTGGAGAGGGGAATGGCGACCCACTCCAGTATTCTTGCCTGGAGAATCCCATGGACAGAGGAGCCTGGTGGGCTACAGTCCATGGGATCACAAAGAGTCAGACACAATTCAGCAACTAAACCACCAAAAAGAAATTAATGATCATAATATAAGTGGCAAAAATCATCCAGCAGTTTTTATAGTAAGAATGTCTTCTAGTCAGGATGAAATATAATTGTTGGGCTTTTTCAAATAGATGTGCTATATTTAATATTTGTAATCAATCTGATGGTCTTAAATCTTTGTTTTTAGGGGATTTATTCTTAACTTTGAGAGCGTGAAAGTCAGCATTTTTAAGAGCCTAAAGGATTCTTGATTAGGAAGCTAGAGCAGAAGCTTATGGGTTGAGGAGTATTTCTACCAGCCCCAATTCCACCAGTATGTGTCAGGGCCTGCCCCCCTTGACACTCAAGCTCCTGGAAGCTGGCTCTGTCTTACATGTTCTTGTGCCTCCTCAGATAGACTGGTTTGCTCTGACACCCCCACATTCTTTGTTTCTACCCAGGGTGAGCCCATCACGTTCTGTGAGGAAAGTTTCGTAAAGCACCGTTCAAGTGTCATGAAACAGTTCTTGGAAACCGCAGTCAACCTCCAGCTTTTTAAGCAGGTAAGAGTGCGCCTCCACGTTTTGTTCTGTAACTCGAGTGTGTCAGAGACTTGTAACACGTTTTTGTCACTGTAAACTTAGGTCTAAACTTTGCTATTAGAAACTTCCTTACGGAAAACTGCTCAACAGATGGTCTCACAGAGCAGGACTACCCATGCACAGTGGGAAAAGCGGTGACTAGTTATGTTTGATTAGGCATCTTAGAAGGACTTATCTTAGTTCGGTTAGATTGATACAACTTGATAAACAAACCAAGTTTTTTATAGGACCATCCCAATGTAATCCGGTTTATAAAAAATGATTCCTAAATATGTAAGTTTTTAAGCTTTGTAAGGGGCTTCCCGGGAAGGGGCTAAGATGGTAAAGAGTCTGCCTGCAATGCAGGAGCCCCAGGTTCAATCTCTGTGTCGGGAAGATCTCCTGGAGAAGGGAGTGGCTACCCACTTCAGTATTCTTGCCTGAAGAATTCCATGGAGAGAAGACTTTCCACAATCACAAATTCAAAATTCAGAAAAAAGTTGTTCTACTGTGTGTCTTGATTTCTGGCCCAGGAAATATAATTGTCATTGCAAAAAGCAGCAGCCTTACATCAGAATTCTGAAAGTTTAGATGCAAAGTGTTTCTTTTATCCTATTGTGTGGTCATGGCAAGTCTCTTAGTTTAGGCTGGCTGTAGTTTTTGTTTATGTCATTTGAATTAAGTTAACACTTTTCTTATTCCACATGACAGTTTTAAGTGTAAAGTCAATTATATGAATTCAACATTTAATGAAGAGTGTGTCGTCTACTGTGCACAGGGCCAGAACGGAGACCTGAGTGAAAACTCAGTGATGCCCTTGAGAAACGGACAAGCTAATAGAAATGCTTATTGCTGTTAAGAGGAAAGAGACCAAGTAACAGAATAAGCGTCAAATCAGCATGGTGAAAAATCCGATACTGTTTATCTGTATTCTGAAGTAATTTTAAACAATGATCTGAGTTAGGAAAATGGTCTATGGGCCACATACCTACCTGCCTTCCAAAATGTGAGGAAAGGTTAGACTTATCCAGTAGACCTCTTTAAGGAGCCAAGTGAAGCAGGTTGGGTGGGTTTCCGGACAAGAGGTGTCTTGTGTGAATTTCCAAGGATGGAGTGGGTTCGCTTTGGAGCTCTGTGTCCCTGGCGGGCTCCGGTACAGATGGGATTCCTTCCCCGGATGAGAGCAGGACCGAGGGATGGTGTGTCAGCGCCGATGTGTGCACAGCCCAGGGCAGCCCCGGGCTGGCGTCCAGGGCATGACTGGTAAGCTCCCGTGCCCTTCCTGTGTTCTGTCACGAGGAGATAGTAACCTCCCGTTGTCAAATCTGAGTTGTGAAGCTCAGGTTACGTGGGGGTCCAGGACTGAGTGGATGGGTGGGATAACATTTCGCTTCCCTTTGACCGTGAGATTCTGTAGCTAGTCTTACCATTTGATAAAGCTCACACATGGTCTTTTTTTTTTTTTAACATAACTACAAAAGGCATATATATACATATATATGGAGTCAGGTCGAGTTGGGCGAGACCTTGGCTTTGCTGCTCGATAGCTTTCTATTCATAAGTGTCTGTTTCTTTCTCTGTAAAATAGCAGTACTGTCCCCGCCAGACAGGCTGTGATAGTTTACGTGATTTAACACCCATGCTCTGTCGACTCGGCAGCACACAGAACTTTGTGGAAGCTCACAAACATTAGTGTTGGCCTCATCCTGAGAGCAGCTACATTAACGAAATGCACATCTATGCGGGGTTACTTTATGTCGAGGTAGAGAATGAACTTGGGGACGTGAAGAGGGAGTGGGGCTAACAGGGAGAACAGCATTGACGTGCAAACACTACTGCGCGTGAGACAGCTGGCTAGTGGGAAGGTGCTCCGTGATGACCTCGGGGTGGAGGCGTGGTCAGGGGGTGGATACATGGACACTTGCAGCTGATTCACTCCACCTCCAGCAGAAACCAGCACAGTGTTGTATAGCAACTATATTTAACTAAAACAATGAATTAAAAAATAAAGTATAATTTTATCAAATTATATGAACATACATTTTATCAAATTTTATCAAACAAATTTTATCATTTTATTTTTTATTTGAACAAATTTTATCAAACATACGAAAATGGTCATTCGACGTAGAACCAATTGTAGAACAGCAGAGTAGTTTCACATACACAAATCGACTGTGTCCTTGAAATTGATACTGTTTCATGAGCCGTAAGGAAGTGACGCTTGAAGGTGCCACTGAAGGACCTGAGGCCCTGTTGAGAGCATCGCGGAGCCGTCCAGGTGCGCTGGGCGCAGGCTCGGCCGTGCTAAGAGGCGCTGGCGGGGCAGGGCCGCACGCCGTGGAGTGTGTCAGGGGCGTGGGTCTCCTGCTCACGTTCTTACCGCAGACAGCCAGGAGCACAGAGGGACATGCGGGAAGCTCTTCTAGGTGACGGACATGTTTATTTACACCTCGTTTGTGGTGATGGTAACAGGACTGTATACCTCTGCCCAAACTCACTGAATTGTCTGCGGTAATTGTGTGCAGGTTTCTGTATACTAATTACATTTGGCTAAAGGTTGGGGTTGGGGGTGGAAAGGGAAAGCAAAAACTGGAATCAGTTGGTTAAAAAAAAAAAATCAACATAGATGAATTCTCAAAGACATGACTGATGTTTCTGAACGAATATGAGACTTTTTAGTACAGATGATCCACGTTCCTGACTGTGAGTTTCTGACCCGCTGTGGGTCAAGAACCACACATCCTCTGTTTGACAATTCTTATGCTACAAAATTGAGAGACCATGAACCCAGGAGAGAAGCATATAATTTGAAGGTAAGAGCTAGAGTTGGCTCTTATTCCTGATGACATGGCAGGGGAGGATCCGGTGCTCACTTCTGTACATTTTTTGTGTGTGTGTGAAGTCGCTCAGTTGTGTCTGACTCTTTGAGATCCCGTGGACTATAGCCTACCAGGCTCCTCTGTCCATGGAATTTTCCCGGCAAGAATGAGTGGGTTGCCATTTCCTCCTCCAGGGGCATCTTCCTGACCCAGGGATCAAACCCAGGTCTCCCACATTGCTGGCAGATGCTTTACCGTCTGAGCCACCAGGGTTATGTATTGGAACAACTTAAAACGCAGGATTTGCAAAACGCCTTGTGGTGAGGATCACAGGAGACAAAGCCCCAGTGCTTATTCTCCAAGATGAGAAGTGTGGTGGGAAATTAAGCTCTTGAAAATCCGGGAAGACTTGGTATAAAGCTAAACCAAAAATAAAAGTGTGCCTTCCTTCAAAACACTTCCGGGGGCTTGTGCCTCCAAAGCTCTGGAACCAGGAGGAGAGGAAGGAGCTCTGCAGAGAAGTTACCATGCACCAGCGTGCACAGGAGTCCAAAGCCTGATTTAATAATGTCTGGTTTGGTCTGACCAAACTCAAGTGTAAGGTGATCCTAAACTGTAGGTGTCCTCAGGCTCCTAGCAGAAGCAAGCACACACCCTCCTTGAGGAGCCACCCCGTTTCATCCAGGTGTCGGAGAGTTCTCCCAGCTGCGATCCCGAAGAGGAGGTGCACTGCTAACAGCCGTCACACATACAGGGAGACAGATCCTAAACCAGAAACAGCAGACAGAAACCAACTTGCAAAGATTTCAAGTACTGGAATATCCAAAGTATGATATAAAATAGCTGTGCTTAAGATGTTCAAATAAGTAGAAGAGGCTTTAAAAATGTTCAGGACATAAAAACTTTAATGAATGTGAAGACAGTTTTAAGAATATAGCAAATAAACTTCTGGTAAGGAAGCATGTAATTCACATGAAAGGAAATTGATGTGTTTCATAGCCAATCAGATCTAATGGAAGAGAGATTTGCTGAACTGGAAGATATATCTGAAAAATTATGCAAATTTTAGTACAGAGCTCTGAAGAAGCAGAAAGTGTAAGAGACTCAAAGGGTGGAGTGGACGTGCCTGAAATCCACACGCTCAGTTATAAACGAAGAGGACAGGACGTGGAGGAGAGACCGCATTAGAAGGACGGGGCTGGAGCCAGTGACATGCATGCTTCATCTGTTCAGGAAGTCCCGCATCCCCAGACTGAGGAGATGAGGAGAAATCTATACCTGCACAGCTATTCAGCTCTAAAGTACTCAATAAAGAGGGATTTTTTATTTAATTGAAAGCATTTTTTAAAAAATTCTTAAAAAGAATACCTAGAATCCTTGGCCTACTAAAATAACTTTTAATTATAATAGAGCTGTGAATACATTTCCCTGCAAAAGCGGAGTTTGCCCTCTCTGTTGCCTTTAATGGTATGTCTACATGGCAAAGCTGTGGCCCCCTGTTATTTAATCACATATCATCACCAACTCAGTGGACATGAATTTGAGCAAACTCCAGGAGATGGCATTGGATGGAGGAGCCTAATGTGCTGCAGTCCATGGGGTCGCAAAGAGTCAGACAAGACTTAGCGTCTGAACAACAGCAGCAGCAAATCTAGGTGTTGCTGTGAAGATATTTCTGCGTATGTAGTTTAAACTCATAATCACTTGGCTTTAAATAAGGACGATTATCCTATGTAAGCTGGGTAGGCCTGTCAGAATAGGATGGAAGGCTTATAAAACAGGACCAAGGTTTTCCTGAAAGAGGGGAGTTCTGTCTGTGGGCGGCAGCATTGGCCCCTGCCTATAGACCCACCTGCTATGTCTGTCCTTCCTGACTGCCTGTCCTACAATATTTGCAACCTACTTAGCCAGCCCTCATAGTCATGTCAACCAGGGTCTTATGGTAAATCTCATATGTGTCTGTCTGTCTGTCTAATCTCTTACTGGTTCTGCTTCTCTAGTTGAACCTTGACTACCACACCAACAGGAGAAAGACATTCTTAAGAAAGAACTTTAAGCAAGTAATTCAGGGAGAAAATTTTCTTAGCTCCAAGATGGAAAGTCTGAGATGCAAGAAGGAAGGAAGAGCAAAATAAATGGTAAATATGCTTCCCTGGTGGC